TGTTTCTAAATCATTGTTTTTCAGTCACCGCACCTGCTATCCTCTTCTGCTGCATGTATGAGGTGTGCTGCACCATTTGGGAACCACTGAGCTAGAGGAATGCCCTCCAAATAACTTGTGATACATGTACATAGGAAATAGTTCCTACATGTGATACGTGTACATAGAAAGTAGTTCCTACATGTGATATGTGTATATAGAAAGTAGTTCCTACATGTGATATGTGTATATAGAAAGTAGTTCCTACATATGATACATGTACATAGGAAGCAGTTCCTACATGTGACACATGTACATAGGAAGTAGTTCTTTTAAGAAATATTTCATAAAAGATATATTTTAGAAGACGAGCGCTTAGAAAATGTTTATTACAGTAAAATTATTTTCAATGATTTGGTATGTTGAATACTTACCATAACAACAGTAGATATAAAATCAAGGAATGCTAAGGATAGTGGATATCTTCCCTGGGGACACTCAAAACCAGCCAGGAAGGTCCCATACATCCCTGGGCGCAGACCCTTGGAACTGAAGAATAGCAAAACAAATCAATCTTAAGTACACACAGTGAGAAAGTTTATAAATAAACTTCTAATGACATCATAAACCAATACAAGATTTTAAAAAAAAAAGAAAAACTTTTTTAAACTGCATTTCTTTTTTGTCTAATTAATAATGAGAATGGCTGAGAATATGATGGACAGAACATGTGCACAATGAGGAAGTTTTAAAGAAAATAAGAACTCGAAGGAAGCTTACATAGAAATTTCTGAATCACATAATGAGGAAAGAGAGTTTGGAGAATTTAACACTCACAAGATACTGAAGGCAAGAGAAGCTGAGGAAAACAACAAATAATCTACCTAATGAGTTTGTGTGAATGGATTGTAGAAAAAAAGACAAATGGTAAATGTAATAGTTATTAGTCGTTTTCTTATAAGGAAACATTCAGTATTCATTAACTGAGTAGTCATTGCTACTTTCAGTCAAAATTTATAAACTCTTTTTCTTAAAACAATTTTTCAGGAAAATAGGTTTCTGAAGTTCAGTAGCTGTTATCACTCTTTTCAGTACTGATGGCGGTTTCCTTTCTAACCTTTTGTTTGAAGTAGCGTCGAATATCAACATCTTAGGAACTTATTTTCTCTTCAAGTTACATATGATCTTCTATATACTATATCCCTTCAGGATGTGAGCAACCACTGCTCTCCACAATTTACTGGGCTCTTTGCAGTTCTTAGTAATTTTTGTCTTTTTGCTATCTCTCCTAAACTTTGTTCTGCCAAACATTTGACAAGCTTGTTAAATAGGTTACTTAATGTTTTCCTGTGTCCCTCTGTGCGTGTCAAATTTTCCGAACCCTTTTTCCTCTTTATGTATCCGAGAAATTTTAACACTTTCTGATGTTAAGTATAAGAGTTCTTTTTGTTTCCATTTTCCCTAAAACTTTGCTATTGTTCACATGCTCAGTCCATGGTATTCTTATCACCTTTCTGTAGAACTATATACATGTGATATCCATTTTAATGGTTGCTGCTGTTAAAAGTCCTCAAGTGATGATGTTTTTGTTATTTGGTATGTTTCTTTACTGGTTATCCTGTAGTGCCAGTCCACAAGGATCAAAGAACAAAGATACTAAGATATGCAGTTTTCATTTACAGCCATTTTTAAGTATTACAGTTTAGATATTTCTGAATAGGTTGAGTTCTATGCATTTGATATCATATGAAAATTTTGATCTGACAAGATTATTTAAGAACATGTTAAATAGTTAAAAATGATTTCAAGCAATTTAAAAACAGGAAATTGTGGAGAGCCATTATCGCCTACATCCTTTAAGGACTTGGCATATGAATGAGTTAGAAAATTAAACTGAAGAATAATTGAAGTATTTTCCATTGGAATAAAAAAAAAAGTGAATCAATATTTGCCAATTGAAGTATACATATAAAGGGAGATAATTGTCATTTATTTTTGGAGAGTTACGTTCCTTGATGCAACAGATCAATTAAATTTTCTCTTGAATTTTTCATTACGAACATGAATTTTCTATCTCTCATCATAATAGATGAGTTCTTTTTATCTTATTCAAGTGCTTAAATTTAATTCGAAAACAAATTAATAATTATTTTCGACAGGAATTTTTAAAAAAATTATACAAAAACAGTAAAATATTTGCTAAAAATTTTCCAGTCCAAATATGGATTATTTGATTTTCATCCATGACAAATTGTTAATTCATGTTCCGGCAACTTTACAGGTAAAGTGGATGAATATTTAATAGTCCGTTGAGAAACTTTATCAAAGCAAATGTAAGAATTTTATTTTTTGACAAGTATTTATAGACAAGAGCAAATGTTATTGGTTTTTCAAATTTTTTGGTATGCAAGTCCTCATAAATATTCATCAGGTTAACAGCAGAGTCAGGCAAGTTCATGGACATGAGATAATACATGAGATGAAATGTCTAATAAATGAAAGTCAGTAGGTTTTATATATATATATATTGCACATTTGGGCAGCAACCCCTCTTTTATGCAAGTTTCATTGAAAACAACTAGCAACGTGCTGACTGTGTTTGGAAAATAAAACATTCCTATAACTCTAGATACATACATAAAACAATGCATACATTCAGTTAAAAGTAAAATAAAATTCATCCTTGATAATGGCTAAAAGTATAGCCAAAAATGCATGGAACGCATCTAGACAATTTTTATATAATTTATGTCCTGAAAAGATAAAGATTATTATGAACACATGAGAAATTATATAAAAATGCCAACCACCACACCATATGAGTATATATATATATATATATATATATATATATATATATATATATGTGTGTGTGTGTGTGTGTGTGTGTGTGTGAGAATACTTGTCACAAAATAAAATTCTTATATTTGCCTTCATAAAGTCCCTCTGATGGCTGCTTTGGATATGGAGGAAACAATCTGCATACAAAATATAGTGTCTGTTTTATACCAGTATGTCCGTTTTGACAATGCAGATTTTAGTAGATCCGAGTTACAGTCATTCCAGCTCTTAATAGCGTTGAACCATCTCTGGTGCACCCTTGTTAAAATATCCACCTTCTTCCAGTTTGATCTGACCAGTTGTATATCCACTGATAAGTTGTATTTGTTTACCAACATTCCTAGTGGGTCTAGCCGCCTTTGAATGAGCATTTTGCTCGAAGCCTTTGTATGTATCCTGGCCATCCTTGTGAAAGTGTCTGCTATCCACTCATGCACACATGCGGAATCTGTAAACAAATGCAACACTGTTGGCTTCCATTAAAGGGCCATGGTTACCCCTTTAATGACGGTGTCCAGTTCCGATAGGTTGATATGTTGCATATCCTTCTTCAGATGCAACCAACAACAGTTCCATTGTGCCTAAGAGAGCCTCCTGTGGCAAGGGAGCCTGTGCCGACCCAGATTTCAAATTCACATCTGTCAATGCACCATTTATCACAAACATGGTCGTCTTGATGTATCCTGTTAATGACTACCATTATCATGTTTCTAAGGGAAGCATCAGTTCTTTTGTCATCCCAGCCAGAAGTGACAGCAGTCACCCTGTGTTTGATAAAGACAGTCGCAATGTGGATCCAACCACTCACAGGAAAATTTCCTACCAGTTTCCCATGTAATAAGAACACACTGTGTTGTGTAATGTGTGCAGGAATCTCTGGGAGCTCACTTCCACATTTCCAGTAAAGCATATTATGCTCCCCTACCAGACCTGCAAGCTGACACACAAATACCGTTCTTCAGTCGTTCTGGGTTTTTTAAGCCCAAAGTTGGCAAGTTGCCGTCTCACCTGTGCAGCAAGTACTATGCTTTCATTGGTGTAGATGTTATCAATGTAAGCTGACATTACTTGGTGAATTGTCTCATCCTTGGATAGCACAGCATCCATGATGGCTTTCATGATAGCCAGCACCACATTGAGCCTGAATCAAATTTGCATTAGGCAGCATCTTCGCCCCTTAAAGATCACAATCTGAAACGGCCATGGTGACTGGTGCACACATACCTGCAAGTAGGCCTTTTGAAGATCAATCACATAGACATTGGATCCCTTCCTTCACCATTCTCCCAATTTCTGTGCACACACATCAGCATGAACTTTGTATGTATCTATATAGACATTCAGCTCCTGATAATCTAGTAATTGTTCCTCTGTACCATGGTCATTACTGGGATGAAGCCTCTTAGAGGACCAAGCTCTTCCTCAGGATACAGAGTCAGCCATCCATTCCCTGATGTGCTCGGGTACCAAGTTCTCTAACACCCGGTTCTAGAGCTTCTTTGGTGGGTTATTTTCTGACCATTTCCACAGTGCTGTCCATGCCTTCATACTTTGGTCGAACTCTGTACTAAAGTCGGGCTCATTGATCCTCAAGGCAGCACAGATGGGCAGACCAGAAAGCTGAATTTCACTCAACTGTGTGATGGGTACTCCACTCAGCTCCTTAATAATATCCATTCCAAGGAGCAGGTCAAACCCCAATAACATGCTGTCCATGACCAAGACACTGACAGTGATGGGGTCACCATTGTTGAGTCTTATGCTCCCAACTCCTCGGTTCCTGAGAGCCTTTTCTTTGTTTCCATCAAGAGCCTTTTCCATTAGTATGTCCATTTTTTGTGTGCTCCCATTCCATTTCCCAGACACTTAGAGGCAACGTGGCCTAATTTCTGACATTCAACACATCATAGATTGGGATGTGCCTTTTGCACTGACCTACCACGCATCTCTTTGCATTGATAGCAGCAGTCCTTGGCAAAATGATTTGGCCCAAAGTACCGACAACAAGTCACATTACCATGGTGATGGTAGGTGGTATTTATCAATCCACCCACAGGGATCGAATGTGGCACAAGGCCTTTTTAATGTGGGTATCTCTGAGCCCGTAGGCTCAGCCAAAAATAAATAACCATCCAAACCCGCCGAGGTGGGCCAGTTCCGTCAACCTCCCCCAACGAAACCCTACCCTTTGGCAGAGCTTCGTCCGGGTTCCTCTCTGCAAGCAGAGAGTTTGACAGACACCCGAACCGGCAGCTCACAAAGCGCAGATACTACACTTTGATCCTACCGGGCCGAGCGGGTTTGACTTTGGTTGGTTGAATGGCTGAAGCAACTAGCTCCTCAGCCTCCTTTTTTGTCAATCATGATAGTGCAGGCTCTGGTCAATAACTGGTTGAGCATCATGTCATCCATTCTGGATGATACTCAGAGTATCTGCTTAACACACTGAGATCAACACCAAATAGTGACAGTCTGTTTCAGACTTGAACACAATTTTTCAGCCATGTATTGGTTCAACTATTTATATATACTGGTTAATGGTGCATTATGGGTAGCAAAGTCTATATGTTGTTTGTTAACTCTTTGCTCATTATTTATTATTCATTACTTGATTATTTGTTGTTATATTCTTCAAGTACAGGTTTTAAGAATATGGATCATATGAAAAAGAACATCTATCAAGTGTTTATCATATGTATGATATTTATTAGTATTCCTTCTAGGTATTTTCTTCAAAACAGGTTGTGTTCATTTTTTATTGAGGCAGCATATCCAAAATCATATATGGCCTATTTTATTTCTCTGTATAACTAAAGAATTTAATGATTTGTACTGGTAGAGAGCTTGTCTGTGTTTATAAATGTAAGTCTTTAAGTTTCTGAATGTTTTGCCTATATATTGCAAGCAGTCTATCTTATATATGTCAGTTTCTGATACATGGTTGATTCTGTGATTTTTTTCACTGACCAAATCTTTGATTCTTTTTTGAGTGCATTTAGTTTTTCATTTCTGAAATGAATAATTTTCAATATTCTTGTATTATTTCAAATGGTTGTTCTCATCTTAGTTGATAGAGATGTTATTATAGTTTCGGAGTTAGTGGTTATAATTTTAGTGTCTCAAATAGATAAATAGATTTTCAAGTTTAGTGAAGAAGGAGTTGATAAAATTATGAACTTAGTATTTTTGGCATTGATAGTACTTATCAATGCCAAAAATACTAAGCCTGATAGTTTAAATAAAATGTATTTAGGCAGCAAGAATTTTTTCAAACATGTTTGGTTGAATAATATCGACAGGTTCTGTCTGTTTTATTTTTATTGACTTTTTCAAATTTCCGAACTAGTTGTTTTATATAATTGGTAAGTTTACAAAATTTTATTTTTGTCTCCTTCTCCCTGACCGCCCAGCCACTAAGTAGGTTTAAAAAAAAAAAAAAAAAAAAAGAAAATACATGTGAAAATTCAGTTTGAACATTATAAATGCCATCAGCTTTAGTAACTTGAAATTGATTCCTGCCATTAAGCTAACCTAGGAATTAGCAAAAAGCAGTTACATAAACACACTAAAAAACAAAATGATTGAAAATGAATGTAGTAACATGTGAAAGTACTTGGGGGAGGGGGAAAATAAAATAAAAATTTACTTTGGTAAATTTACTGATTACATAAAACAATTCAGAAATTTGAAAAAGTTAATAATAAAAAAATGTTTCAAAATATTATATTTATTTGTCGGAAGTAAGGTGTTGAGCTGTAAATGTCACAGTTCCCCAAAACATGTCTGAATACCATACAACCCCCAACATCTAACATATATTTTAACTTTTCAAATTTATCGTTGACCTTCATTCTGATTAGTTAAAATTGACACACCCATAAGATCTAAAAATTTGGATTGCCTCCTGCTCCAAATTAACTCTTTAATAAGCAAATGTATTGTTTTCTATTTTCAAATGTAAATCATTTTGACCAAAGTTACCAAACATTACCTGATGACGAGATAAAACTAAGTCTTAAAACATAGAAATTTCCATGTTGCAATGTAAAATATTTTTTTAACTAAAATATCATTTTATATATATCTCTATCTATAAAAGGCAGGATGTGTGTGTGTGTGTGTAACAAATGCACGGCCGCAATTTTCGATGGATTTGCACCAAAATTTATATGCACATGCTCCAAGTTAGTGGGAAGGCCAAGACTGACTTTGCATTTCCCAACTCCCATCGATAGTGGAAATAATCGATTTTTTCATGCTTCTACGGCAGTTTTCATGTAGTTTGCGGTCATTTTGTACTGGCCAGAGTGAGAGCCAATAGCTGGCTGACACGAATGTTAACTAGCATGCTAGAATGCAAAAAAAAAAAAATCGATAGCCCCATTTGTCCCAAGTGGGAAAAATTTAAATCTGCATGGCACTTTACTTTAATTGGCTCATTCGCTTGCTTAAACTCAATGTTGATTCTGATTCCGCAGAACTGGGTTGGGTGTGAAAAAGTATTTGCTGTTAACATTCTTTTTTCATTTGGTTTTTCCAGTTACAAGTCCTTTTTTTAAAGCTGATCGTTTTGTGTTCATTTTGTTTAGTTCTTTTTTCATAACAGATTTAATGTTTAGTATAGAGCTTAGAAAAAATTCGCTGTGTGTGTGTGTGTGTGTGTGTGTAACAAATGCATGCCCGCAATTTTTGACGGATTTGCACCAAAATTTGCATGCACATGCTCCAAGTTAGCGGGAAGGCCAAGACTGACTTTGCATTACCCAACTCACATCGATAGTGGAAATAATCAATTTTTCATGCTTCTACGGTAGTTTTCATGTAGTTTGCGGCCATTTTGTACTGGCCAGAGTGAGAGTCTATAGTCTGCCACGAATAGGCAGGAAGATTCTATTGGCCAGAATGAGAGCCAACAGCTGACTGACACGAATTTTAACTAGCATGCAAAAAAAATCAATAGCTGCATTCGTCACAAGTGGGAAAAATTTAAATCTGCATGGAACTTTACTCCAATTGGCTCATTCGCTTGCTTAAACTCAACGTTGATTCTGATTTCGTAGAACTGGTGAAAAAGTATTTGTTGTTAACATTCTTTTTTCATTCAGTTTTTCCAGTTACGAGTCCTTTTTTAAAGCTGATCGTTTTGTGTTCTTTTGTTTAGTTCTTTTTTCATAACAGATTTAATGTTTAGTATTAGAAAAAATTCGCAGTGTGAGATAGGCAAGAATTAAGGCATGTAGCAACATCAGCACGGGGAAAAGGCACTCCTTTAAAGGCAAAAATATTTTAAGTTAAGTGATAGCGATTGCTGTATGAGTCATACGATTTTTTAATCAAGCACGGGCAATGCTGGGCCATGTTGCTAGTATATATATATATATAGGCACGGTGGAGTAATGGACAACGGCTCAGATTGAGGAATCGGAGCTTTGAGTTTGAATTCCAGTCGAATCCATTACATTCACTTATGTGCTAATACCCTTGAGAAAGGGATGAATCCTCTTCTTCTTCCCCCTAGCTATGGGTAAATAGCAGGACAGACCGGGTTCTGTAGCCTTGGATGGCAACTGGTCTACCGCAGGAAAAAAATCTGCCTACGTGTGTATCACGCATAGCTCATAACTGACTGATATATATATATATATATATATATATATATCTGATGAGGCAGAAGACTTTTGTCTAGGTCTAGGTAAGGTGTCTCTTTATTTCTACTTCCTTTTTTGGCAGGCTGAGTATTAGTATATGGCTTTAGTTACTTTTCCTTCACCTATTAATTTATTTGGAATACACACACACACACTATATATATATATATATATATATATATATATATATATATATATATATATATATATATATATATGTATATATATTGTATGTGAATTATCACTTTTCTTACTGCCCAGTTACTAAATTTTGATCTTGAGCTGAAATGCCAATCTATACATAAATAATTCCACCATTTTTCAAAGGTACTATACTTGTTTTTTTTATGTAACCTCTGATAATTTATTCATGTAGAAAAATTTTATCATCACTAGAATTATTTTGCAACATGTCAGCATGTTAAAATCCTCACAGCATTTAGTATTAAGTTATTGCTAGCATTTTTTGTCGAGATTTACAAACTCTACTCTCACTGTTGTGTTTATATTTAGTGCTACTACTGAGCTTTTTATATTTTACCAGAATTATTTTATATATATATATATATATATATATATATATATATATATATATATATGAAAATTTTTGATTTAACCAGTAGAGATAATATTTATGAATAAAAAATGACAATAGAAAACTGGTAATTGCTGACGCGTTTCGTCAATGTGGACTTTATCAAAGCAAAATTTCATTTTCGTATTTTGCTTTGATAAAGTCCACATTGACTAAACGATCAGCAATTACCAGTTTTCCTATTGTCATTTTTATTCATAAATATATATATATATATATATATATATATATATATATATAAAAAATTAAAAGAAAAGATATGCAAAAATACAATATTACAATTTTATTAAATAAGCATTTTTTATTTTCATTAAATTGTTTTTAAAATAGTGAGAGTATTTTGCATGTTAAATAATAAAACTTTTAATTTTTCAAAATGAAAATTTACTGTACTGAGCTATACCCCGAACTGTACTTTGTACCCATTACCTGTTTGCATGTCTCACCAAAATTTGGTTTCAATCAGTCAATGTATGGCTATTTTAGAGGGTGTGATGGACTGGTGGACTAATAGAAGTTACAGAATTTTATATATAGATTATTCTTACGCTATAATCAATTAATCAAAGCTTCACTACTGATCAGCAATGAACATGTTTATTAAAAAAAAAACAGCTACAATTTTATCTTCAACACAAGATAAATTTATTGTAAAAAAATATAAAAAAAAATACAAATAAGTAAAAAAGAATATTTTCTTACCTGAAAACATCAGCATTTCCCAGGTGTTCAGTGAAGTAAGGAAGCAATCCTGTCTGTTTCATACTTTGCCATACCTAGAAACATTTACAAACATCCAGACATAAGAATTAAATTTCCAGATTTCTGATGAAATTTCTTTTCTTCTTTTCTATATTTCAAGAGTTCTCTACAAACAACTGCCTATCTGTAAGAATCTCAATTCTTTCAAGTCTGCATCTTGTGTCTTAGTGCAAGAAAATTTTCAGCAACATTGTTACCTCAATTCTAAGATTCTCATTAAAGACAAAAATCAGAATGATGAATGTCATTCTCCAGGTATGTTTTCCATGTCAGCCATTTGCATTTTTATTTCATTTCTTATTCACATCTTCAAACATTTTGTGGTGATTTGCCAAAATAATTTGCAATATTTTTGACTTTTATATCTGGGTTCCCAACTTAATTGTTGAATAAAATTCCCCAAAACACTCCACCAAAATTATCTGCTTTTGAGACATTTTTTTTGTTTTTTTTGGTTAACAACATATCAACACCTTTATGGGTCATTTAATGCCAAAATTTAATTTTCTTGGAAGCTCCGAAGGAATAAAAATATGATGTATGTTATTCTGCTTTCACAATTCAATACATGGTAGATGATACTCAGCTTTTGTGCTTATACTTGCTTGTGTGGACATAATTACTAGAGGCGGTGATATGTGTTTTATGTTGTTTTGTTGAAGTTATATTTTGGAATACAGTTTGATTTCTTTAAGAAATCATAGGATATTATATTGATTAATGTCATGAAAGAGTTCATGTAAGTTGTTTGGTTCATTTTGTTTAGGGGCATATCAACTTCTATGAATTATTTAATGCTGAAATCTAAATATTTTGAACACAATTTTTATGGCTTCAACTAAACATATTTTAAACACAATTGCATGCTTTCAACTACAGATAATATATTGTTAGTAATTCTACTATGAAATGTATTGTTGGTCATTTTACTATAAATGGGTATTTTTATGCTGCTTTCAAAGTGTTTTGTTTTTGTTTTGTGGGTTCACTATTTTCCCATAGCTGGGATCCTAGTAGGTGCTACCACCCCATGGTAGGGTAGACCTGGGACCAACAGCAATTAAGAGATGGTTCCACATGTCTCAAAACCTCCAAGCAACCCAATCAGAGGCCTTGCTGCCAGATTTAGTTTATTGTTGTACCCAGGACTTTGAGAATTATTTAACAGAGAGTAGTAAGTATATTGATAGAGTACAGCTGAAAAGGCTGAGGGCAAATATCATAATCCTTTGTGTATATATTGCTGTAGAGTATAAGGTGCAGTTAAAAAAACAGCAGAGAAATTCCAGGGAAAAAAATTTGTTTTCATGTATAAAATGCAGCTTATTTTTATGTATAATATGCACCTGATTTTAAAGCAAAGAAAATGACTTATGAAACTTGTGAAAAAGAAAGAGAAGAATTAAAAAAAAAAAAAAAAAAAACACGTCATTTTCTTTATTTTTGCAATTCGTAAGTATCATGTAAACCTGATAATGACTCTTGGGGTATATGATGATTAAATAGTCTATGAATATTCAGAAAATAAATCAAAATAAAAGTGAATAAATATTAACTTGTTTGCCTCTTTTGGTTTTAATTATGAAAGATTTATGTACCTTTGCTGCAATATGGCATTAGAGAGAAAGTATCTTTCCAGTAAACAAATAAATTCAATTTGACCCAATTTTGTCAGTTCTGTGTTCTGGAAAAATAGGATTAAGTTCTAAACTATAGTATAAAACTCAGCAGACTTTTGGAAATGGTCTTGGATGAAAAAAACAGTGTCTTATATATATGCAAGATTGCAGTATCTTTCTTACTTATAAAATGCAGATTGTGTGTGTGCGTGTGTTGTCTGTACATTTATATATTGGATCGGATTTCCTACATTTCTCAACTGATTTCAACAAAACTTCACAGGACTACGTAAAATTACCTTGCGGTGGTTATGACAGCACCAAAAATTGGAAAAACAATTGTTTTTGCACGAAATCAATTTGAAAACACGATTAAGAGGCATTAATGAAAGGGGGGCAACTCATATTGAGTTATACTTATTAAAATCGAGTTATTGAGTTATACTTATTATAAAACCCAGGTTGGTTGTTTGTGTGTGTGTTCATTTATATATGGGATCGGATTTCCTACATTTTTCAACCGATTTCAACAAAACTTCACTTTTTTTTGGCACGTAGTGTTTCTTATTGTCTTGCACACTTTTTTCTTTATTTTTACATTCAGAATGCTTTAAAAATTCCATTTACAAGACAATTGTTTATAATAAAATTCTATTCAATCGGTAGACTCATAATGATTGAAAACAATGTTTTTGTTTGAGTTTGGGTTTGACCAATTCGTAAAAAAAAACAAAACAAAAAAAAATCTAATTAAGACATGCATGTCCATCAACCTTAAGCAATAATCTTTATCAATTTTATTTTTCAGTCTTTATGATGGTCGATACTTGATCTATCTCTTACTGTTACATCCCTGGGCAACACCAGGTTCTACTGCTAGTATAGAATATAAACTTTCTTATTATATAGATTATAACATTTTTCTTTCAAATATAAGATGTCAAGTTTATTATTTTGACTTTTTAATTTCTGCAACTTAGTTCTTTTTCAATATTCTCTTCCAACTTTAAATGTTTCTCTTCTAAGATTTAATTTGCTCATGTTATATTCTGCTTCAAATTAGATTCATTCGACATATCAGCCAGGTATGAACACTAAGAGAGCAGAAATAAAAATAAAAAAGTCACCCTCTGTGCAGAGGCTCTGAGCATCACATCTGGTTCCCAAAACAAATCCTCCCCAATATAAAGTACAATTTAAAAGTAGCCAACCATGGATGTTGCCATAAAAATGAAGCATGACCCCCCCCAAAAAAAAACAAAAACACTGAATCATGATGATGCTTTTAAGAACACCACTCACAACACTATCCAGAGTTGCAGACAAGCTGTTAACACCACCACTAGTGACCTTGGTCAACTGATCAAAAATATGCATCAATTACAGACCCTACTGACTCTCCCCATTCTCCAGATTGCTTCCTTCACCCATGAAAAGGTATTCCACCTTGATCCTCTATATTAGCAATACAAAGAATAATATCTTAAAAATTTGGTATCTCTCTATATTTCTGAGATGAGGTACTATGTACCTTATTTACATTATTTGGACTATTGTCCTCATCTTTGTTGCCATATTTTTTATTACAACGTTTCGGCCGTTTAACGCTCCAGCCTTCTTCAGGTGGTTGGAATGTCAAACTTAACCCTTTAGTTTGACATTCCAACCAGAACATTCAGCTGCCCTCTTTCTTCTTTTTTTTTTTTTTTGCTTTTTGTTCTACTTTTTCCTGATTACATTTTAAACATTCCTGATAATGAAAAATAAGATTGGTTGTTTTTCCATATTGCTCAATGAAATTCTCTTTTGGCAAAAGCAGCACATAGTTTTGCTATCATCATCTTTCATTAGCATGACCACTGAAACAAATTTAGGATTAAATCAGTTGCTTATCTATTCAGGATTGAGGAGGAGGAGACAGTTTTATTCAAATCTTACTAATCCTAAAAAAAAGATCTATGTATCAAATAAATAACATTTAGCATTTATTTTCAAACATTTTCCTAGTGAACCCAACTATATGAATTTAAGCACGCTACTAGATTGGCATTTAGATCCCATTGTTTTAATATTGAGTTAGCTAAATGCAACAGCTACTTTTACTACAACAGTTTCTTTTCTCGTACTTCCCACCTGCAGAACTCCCTTCTTATTACTTGCTTCCCTGATAGCTACAATCTTCAAAAATTTAAAGGCAACATCAATCGCCATTTTCTGTCTTCTTGAATCCCATTCATCTATTTGTCCTTTCCTCAATCCTCCCTATTCTCAGTCTTCACTTTAATTCTCTCTAACTCCCCACTGTGTACCAGTGCCCTTGCTTGGGGTGAAATTATTAAAAAAGAAGAAAAAAGAAAAGTGATTTGATGCCTGACAAATTGCATTAGAAAATTCCTTGTTTTCCTTCATATTAAACCAATAATTCTTCCCAGAGTTTTCTTAAAAAATTGACTATTTTTCAAATTCCCTGATAATTCTCTATTTTCCATGTTGGCTGTGAACTGTGTTAGTACATGGGGTGTTATTCCAAAGTTCAAGAAATCTGAATAGTATATACAAATCCTATGTAAACATTTTGCCAGAACTTTTTGCAGAACAGTGTGCAAGGCGATTCACTTAATTTGAAAAGCATTGCAGGGGTTCAGAGACAACATACGTTAAATGTATAAGAGGAATAAAATTAAACTGACATTCAATTTTTTTTGATTGGTGGGGGGCAATTATTTCATAATTAGAAAATCTAATGTCATAGATAAATTTGTCTCTCTGAAAAGGAGTAAATATTTATCTATATTTATTGATAGAGCAGTATCAGAGAAAGTGAATTTTGTACTGGGTTGGTTGAAAATTTTCTTCTGATTTTCTTATTAGGAGTAGTTAGTTTTGACTAAAAACATTGCTATTGATTGTACGATCTCCCTGAATTCAATAAGTTCCTCTATTTTATGAAAGAAATCTGGAATTAGAAATAGCTTCCCAAAAGGTGGGGTCTATCATACATTAACGCATTATGAAAAGAGAGAGGGAGGCCTCAAAACCCTCACACATCAAATATCGCAATTGGATCCATTATGGTGACAGTATTAACCTTTAGCACTCTGCATGATTAATATTACTTCTCTTTCCATTCAATTCTTTTTAAGGACTCTCAATTGCAATATCCTTATTGGTAATTTCATTCAAAGTTGTCTTCTGTTGCCATAGCAGGATATGACAACACAAGTATGAAATTCAAACACACTATTGTTCAGGTATTACTGTCAACTTTTTGTACAGCAAATGAAATCACATAGTGATACAGGATAATAAACATTATATTAACAAGGTTCTTATTGTTTTATGAAAATTAATTCCTCAAAACTCAATTTGGTTTTCATTCTAATAAGTAATGTCAT